GTTGGTTTATTTTTAAATTGCTACTCCTATTTTGGGGGCGGGGTTGGCATTCATTATTTATGAAAGGCTTTCAGTAGAAAACAGCCAAGCTCTGTTTAGAAATAGGTCATAGAAATGAAATCACAGCTCTTCATTAAGAATTAAAATGGGTCTCTGATTTTTTGATTTAGCATTTCACATTTCCATAGATCCTACCCAAAGCTATGGCTTCCAGCCTGTGGGGTTCACAGCTGCCATTGATCCAAGCATCTCCTTATCCACCCTAATTAAATGTTCTAGGCTGAAAACACCTCCCTGAGGAAGGGTCAGGGGTCACAGGCCCTTAGGTCTCCTACATACTGGGTCCAGACCATCCTCTCCTCTGACCTAGCAAGCACCGCTCACCTGTGGCATCTGCCTGTCCCTCTCTTTGCCTTTCCTTACTGTTGTCACTCTCCTTCCAGATATTTCCTCCAATGTCTTTCCCCTCCTAAGTTTTGCAGCTATTTGGGGTGATTCTGTATGAGTAACTGATCCTGCAACCTAATTACTAAGGTAGTACTTGCTTCATCCTGAGACTTCTTTGATTTCCTGCTCTCTCTTTTCAGACTTGTTCTGTTTTCATTTAGTTCCTTATTCAATACCTAATCAATTCCTTATACCAGTATTGAGCTCTGCTCTTCTTGAATCCTCAACTGGTCCTTCCTTTTTTTTTTTGTCACCTGCCAGAGTCCCAGTTCTGGAGGCACAGCTGTGTCATCCCTGAGTCATTGTCCAGGCATCTTAGCTCAGTGCTACAAGAGAAGAGCACGTCAGCATAAAGATCTGTGCCTCTGTAAATTAATGGTCTCAAAGCCTGAATCATGCATGCCCAGTTGGCTTTTTTCTTTTCTCATTTTCTTTATCGGTTCTTTGGGCCACAAGCCCTTTCACCTATTGCAAATAATATCCCCAAATCCCTGCAAGACCATCTCTCTTTGCTTGTAACAGAGGACCCTTGTTTCTGACCTCACAGAATACAGAAGCCTAAGAGAACAACACCCTGACATCCCAAGTCTACTTTACAGGGAAGGCCCTTTCCTGTCCCGGGGGCAGAGCTCGTAATTGCCTTTCTCCGAATAGTTGCACCCACCCGTAAAACTGAGAGCTTGTAGAATTTATTCACATTTGTCTTCTCATTGGCACCTAGGGAGAACCAGTCTTATTTTGAGTCTATATTTTGAGAAAACTGAGGATTAGGGAAGTTAAGAGATTCTTCCATGGTTGTGCAGAAGCCAGGATTTAATCTGCAGGAAAGCCTTTACCCTGAGCTGTGTTCTACCAACTTCTGCCTTCTCAAAGCCCTCTCTCCATCTGAGATGAGAGCCTATTCCTATTTTTTCTACCGTGACCCTCTCTCCTACCTTGTTTATCCCAGGGTCAGATAAGGCATATGTGTCTTTCATCTGTTAAAAAGAACATCAGCCTCATAAATTTACCACCTCCCCTCCCTTCACAGCTATAACCATTGAGGAAGCCCTCCGTTATATTGTACTCATCATTTGCATCTTCCTGTGCTCACTCCTCAGCTCACTGAAAGGCTGACCTCAGCCTGACACAGGTCACTCCATGTGATCACCGTGTTCTAAATTCAGAGGGTACTCCCTGGGCCCTATTTTACTTAATATTCCTTTATCACTTAGTACCACTGGCTCATTGTTGAAACCTCCTCTTCACTCTGCTTACATGTGCCTCCCTTTTCCTGCCCTTCTGTCTCTCCGACTGTTCACACCCCATCCTCATTTGAGAGCTAATTCTTCTCCACCAGTGTCTTCACCAGTGTCTGCAGTACTTACGGGCTTTCAGACTTCTCATTCTGTCCACCTGTTCTGGTTAACCTCTCCCACTCTGTGGCTTCAACTGCTATAAATCCCAAATCTGAATCTCCAGCTTTAATAAGGGCTTGAATGCCAGATCATTGTCAATTTTACCCTTCCTGCTGAACATCACATTTGGGATGACCCTTTAGCATCATTGGATTGAATGCATGTGAAATGGAGCTCGCCTGAAAGGGAGGATAGGGTCAGTATGGAAAGTAAATGCAGAGTAATCTGAGCAGTGCCAGATGTGGAGTGAGTTGGTAGGTAGCTTTGGTGGATTTAACCCCTAGCTGGTCCCTACCACCTTGGTACATGCACTGGACAGCTATCACTGCTTCCTTTCCTCCATGACCACCTTCCTTAACTCTCTCTATCTCACTGTGCCATTCATTACATTGAGAGTGTCCCTCAATTTAAAGGTGACGTGTGACACCCAGGGCAAGCAGGAGCCATACAGAAATTTTACAGGTGTTAATCTCATCTAATCCTGGCTATGACACTCTGAGGTAGGGCTTGTTTTTTAAATTCCATGAAAATGTCCAAGGTTAGCTACTTGATACAAAGTCTCATATCCACTGGAGTTTGTATCAGACCTGCTGGACTCTGGGCAGTTACAGTCCATCTTTCCATCCTTTCTCTAACCTGGCCAGAAAACCAAGGCTCATCTTTCACACTTCCTTTTTTGTCTCTACCCCTATGAAAATCCAACCAGTTATCAAAATTTGTCAACATAGTCTCTTGAATATCAGAAAAGCCTTCATTTCTTTGCCTTGGTTGTCTCGGGTCCTGCCTCCACTGACTCTTATTTAAGACACTAAAGTGGCTTCCTAATTTGTATCCTGGAATCCCATATTGCTCCCTTCACATCTGTTCCCCTTTGCATGTACTCTTCAGCAGTGCTGTCCAAGATACACACACTACTATGTTTAGGCTCAAATTCACAATCTTCACTTCTCAGGCCCTTCACTCTCTGGTTTCTGTTGTTCTTTTGAGCTTCATGTCTTACCCACCACAGTCCAGAATCTGGTTTCATTTGGCTTTATTGAGTTCTTATATCCTGCCACAGAAAGAATGTCACAGGTAGGATGTAGAAACAGAAACTTTGCATTCTGGGATTGGTACCCATCTCTGAATGTGGCATACTAACTGTCACAGACTAGGACAGGAAGGAGCCACATCTTTCTTACAGACTGCTATATCCTTTCACATAGCTCATTGCCTCACTTCTCTACTCATTGAAAAAGTAAGAGTTCAGTTAAGTGTCATGGGAGGCGTTATAGATTTTATGACCTCCTTGAGGCCATGAAGCTCCCTAACAAGTACAGTGGTCAGAGATGTAGATTTTAGCACCAAACTTGGACTTGGGTCCCTCCCTCTGCTACTCACATACCCTAAGCCTCACCAGGGTTGGGAGACAGAGGGAAAGTAGTATGTGCCGAGTTTCAGAACCTGATGTAAATAAGAACCATGCTATAAACAAGCCTCAGATAATGGATTTTCACCCAAATTCCCAACTCTCAGTGTGCCATTTGCCTTATAGCCATGTACATGTGACATTGTCAAAGCAGCATCTACTGATGGATCCATTGGGCGATTGTTCATAGGACAAAAATTGAGAATAATGACAATCCCATTAGGGAAATTCCCTAGTTTTAAAAGTATTTTATCCAGTAACTTTTTTTGGGGGGGTACCGGGGATTGAACTTGGGTCCTTGCACTTGTGAAGCAGGCCACCGAACCGCTGAGCTAAATCTCTGGCCCCCAGTAATATTTTTTCACTATGAAAAAGTACCCCTTTTTGACTATGAAAATATGGGGTCTGAAAATAATGAATTATGAAGTTTTCCAGAATTCTATTAAATAGAAGAGTATAATCATTTTAACTTTTAAATTTTAATGAAGCCCAATACTTAATGTAATGGCATATGGGCTGAGCTTTATGGGCAGAAAAAGCTTTTTGTACTATATTGATGTGACTGATTTCACATGGATGACATTGTCTACAGTAAGCTCCAGGTTATTTTCATTTGACAGTGGGATAAATACAACTCTAAATAACAAATTTCAAATAAGGATTTAGCACTTTTAGTTCATTTTCTATGATGACTTGAGCACTGCTACAAAATGAGTCAATAGAGGTTACTTTGGGGATTGTATGTAGTGTGTTGTAAAGTTGACTTCACCAAATTTTATCTTGATGACGACCCTTCAGCAAATTGTTTAAAATATCCAAGCTTTGGGTTTATCATCTGTAAAATAGAGATATAATTTGCTACCTTAAGAATGTGCAAGTGGATCTAAAATGAAGATAAGATGTGAAGATTGGCCCTGCACTTGCCAAGTCATAGACTGGTGGTGGTGAACTTTTCAGAGCTTTCGATGACACAAACAGCACATTGCAGCACCTGTGCCGTACGTTGCCACCACTGACATAGGTACTCTGCTTTGCTTATAAGAGCCATCAGGCATCTTATTCTTACTCTCAGCCCAAATTAAAATGAAAAGAGATCCTGTGAAAGCATTTGTTAGTCATTATAACAGTAATTTCTTTATCAATTTGAATTTTCACTTTATCCAAGGAAATCAAATATAGTGGATTTGACATAGATCAGCTTTTCAGCTGTATCTTCTATTTATGACACAGGAAAACGTATAAACTGAAAAATTATAGTTCATGCCATTTAACAGGAATAGTGCAGCTTTGCAATAATCAAATCAAGTGTTTAGGAAGTGAGTATGTGTTATCAATATTTTAACTAATTAAGATTCCCAAAAATCTGCCTCCTTTTATTTTGTTACCATTGTATAAATCTGTTCACAATCTCAATACAGGAAGGCCTGTGTCACCTAGTTACTAATTATAGGAGGATCTTGATGAATGTATAAGCAGCTTAACTACCTATATGCTGTTCATGATTATTACTGTTACTTAGTTATTATCAGTACTGTGATTATCATGAAAAATGTGTGAAACATAACAGAGCTAACTTTTTGAAGGGCTTGCTTCGTGGATTTGGAAATGTGATATATAGCAAAAGACCTTTCGATTTGTGCATGGCTATTGTCTTTTAAGTACCTCACTGCTTTTCTCCTGATGTTTCCTCCTGTTAAATTGTTTTCTTAACTGATGTCTCTGGTCTCTCTCTTTCTACCTCCTGGCAGTTTTTTCCCTATTAAAGGACCCATCTGTCTAAGGTAGAGATTCTTCATTTTTTTATACTCAAAAGTGACTAAGCTGCATGGAATAGATGCGCTTGTTATCTAGAAATCATGTATAACTCTGTTTTTTCAAGCTATAGTAACATTTTGTTTGTTTTTCTTCAAGTCATATTTATCCTTTTTAGTCTGAGTTCATGCATCCGGAAGTATGTCTAATTTTTAATCATAGTCATACAGCAAAGAATGCATATTAAACTTGCTAATCCATGGTAATTAAAAATAATAGTTAAGAAATAATTGCTATTTGGAATGTATGATTTTGTATAAAAAGTGAAAGATAAAAGCTCTTTCAGAAAACTGACTTATTTTCATTTCATTAGACTTGAATTTGAGCGACAACAGCGTGAAGAACTTGAAAAATTAGAAAGTAAGAGGTAAGGTGTGCAGAGCTCAAGGTTTGCCGGTCCCCTAGTGAATAGCCTGCATCCTCCTCCCCTGCATCTGTTTCAGTTCCTCTCTTTCCTACTACTATATTTATCTGTTTGTTGTGCTAGTAAATTCTTTTGAACTGGTTGAATTTGCTTCATGTTTAAATTTCTTCAACAGTTTATCTTCACATCCTTGTAAGAATAGGAGAATAGAGTCAATGATATAACACTTTCCTACATCAAATAAATAATATTTGTTTGTTTTTCTTCCTTTTCTTTTTTGGTACCTGGGATCAAACTTGGGACCTTGTGCCTGCAAGGCAGGCGGCAGAATCACTGAGCTACATCCTCATGCTTGCTTGAGCTTTTTTTTTTTTTTTTTTTTTTTTTTTTTTTTTAAGACAAAAAGAATAGACTGAAGGTTTTATGCAAAGTCAAAAGAATTTCCCTTGTTACCTGACTCTCCATTTTTTAAACACTTTCCAATATTGTTGTTGTTTCATTTATATTTTTCATTATAACTCTGCATATTGTTTGCTTGTGTGTGCATGTGTGTCTGGTCTGGCTGTTTAACTTGGACAGTTCTTTGTTACGAACTTCTCTTTGCTTGATAAAACTGTATTTTCTCCTTTTCTTTATTCTGTCCCATTTAACAAGCTAAGAAGTAGACAAAGTGTAGGTATTGGAGTAGAAGCTAAGCCATAGAGATCTTCAAACTAAACTTATTTTCTAGAATCTGAAGCATAAATATCACAAATTAATACATTTAGTTTCAGACATCATACAGGACATATGTTTCGTTGTCGGGAGATGGATGCCATCCATACGTACACCTCCTGTTCATATTGTTACTCTAGGGGCCATCCTGACCCCTAAAACTTGAATTAGCACCCTGAGGTTGTTTGTACCTGGAGAGAAGACCTAGCATATCACTGCCAGCATCATGCATTTGAATATTCTAATGAGAATTCCAGTTATTTTCAGTGTTATACATCCATCCATAAAGTAATATTTTGAGCCATTTGGTGAGCAAGTGCTAAGTAGCATTTAGTTAGTTGAGCTGAATCAATGAATTGTCAATTGTCTTGGCTTTGACATTTGACCCCACTGAGTTGAAGACCATGTAGCATTTTTATTTATTATCATCTTGTAACTGAACTTCTGTTCAGATTTACTCTTTGGGCTGAATAAAATTATTCACATTAAATTTAAATTTAAATTGGACGTGGTTCTTTCTCGTTGGACTCAGGGTTTTTAAAAATTATATCATGCATAACATATTATGATTGTAGGTTCCACAAAAAATAATATCAGAGGCTACTTCAGGAGAGTAGCTGGATCATATATTGGACAGTTAAAGTACAAAAATTGAAGAGCACATTGCTGAAAACTTGAAGGAAAGGCCCTTACTGTGTTATTTTAATGAAGGGTTTGTCTTTATGTTGCATATGCATTTTCAGAATGGTCCAGCTAGGGAAAAATTAAAACACCATTTGAATGTAGTAAACCAATAATTAGTCTGCAATTGCATTGCAGGAAACTGATAGAAGAGATGGAGGAAAAGCAGAAGTCGGACAAGGCAGCACTGGAGCGCATGCAGCAGGAGGTGGAGACACAGCGCAAGGAGACCGAAATCGTCAAGCGTGAGATTCGCAAGCAGGAGGAAAGCCTCAAACGCCGCAGCTTCCACATTGAGAACAAGCTCAAGGACCTGCTTGCTGAGAAGGAAAAGTTTGAGGAGGAGAGGCTGCGTGAGCAGCAGGAGATGGAGCTGCAGAAGAGGCGACAGGAGGAAGAGAGCTTTCTCCGTTGGCTTCAGGAATTCAGCAGCAGTGAGCAGCCTGAGAAGATGGAAATATTCCAGGAGCTGGGCCGACTGCAGCAGGAAAAAAATGAGCAGTGGACCAAGCTGGCCTTGGAGAAGCAGAGGCTGGAGGAGCAGGAGAAGGAGCAGGTGCTGCTGGTGGCACAGCGGGAGGAGCAGCTGCGGGAGAGGCAGGAGATGGCCCCACTGTTGCATGGCGAGGTCCTGCAGGCTGAGGAGGAAAAGCAAGAGCTTGAAGGCATCTGGGCCATGCTGCTTCAGGCCAGAGAGGCTCTGGCTTCAGGGGACACTGGCAGCCAGGAGCTGGACAGGGCCCAGCTACATTTCTTAGAGTTCAAGAGAAAGCAGCTTGTCCAGCTGGCCACCTCGGAGCAGAAGCTGGCCCAGCAGAAAGACCTCCTGAGTAAAGAAGTCCAGGAAGAACAGGAAGCCCTGCACTATTTACAGTGTGAAAAGGACGTGGACTGTAGATTGTTAGCACAAAATGATGGTAGTGGCCCAAGTATCTCCCGTGTGGCTCATGATTTAGAGAAAATAAAGGCAGCAGAATGCAGGCTGCGGTATAAAGAATGCCAGCTACAGGACCTCCTGCAGAATCACCTGCCAGCCCTGTTGGAAGAAAAGCGGAGAGCACTTGAAGTCCTTGACCATGGCCCGCTTAGCTTAGACAACACTGTGTATCAAGTGGAAAAAGAGATGGAAGAAAAAGAAGAGCGACTTGCTCAGCACCAAGCCAGTGCACACCAGCTGCAGCAGCTCCAGGCCACCTTCGAATTCACCACCAATGTTGCAAGACAAGAAGAGACAGTGAGAAGAAAAGAGAAGGAGATTCTGGAGTCTGAGGAGAAGCAGCAGAGAGAAGCGCTGGAGCAGGCAGTAGCCAAGCTGCGGCGCAGGCACTTGGCCCTGCAGCAGCCCTTGGCCCTGGGTCCAGACAGTGAGGAGCAGAGGCAGAAGCTGGCTGAGCAGAGCAGCAGCAGTGAGCAGTTGGAGCTCCCGGCTGGGCTGGGAGCTGAGCATCAGAACCTGGAAAAGGACCGGGACAGGTGAGACGCAGGAAGGGAGACTGCGGTGTACAGTGGGAGCCAAGCATTATTCCTTTCCACGCCTTGTGTTACGTACCTCACCACCTATTCAAGAGAGCAGTTCTAGCTTTTCTATTCTCTAGTATATAGGCAAATGGTTACTTTATGAAACTCGAGAAAAGTGTACCTAAATATTCTTTTATTTCTCTATAAGGTCTTTCTCTTAGAATTGTCAGCCTAACAAAAACTGCACACACAAAACCCTTGTCCATTTCTCCCCTGACCTGTGGGATGCATAGTGGTTTGATAAATGCAGAAGAGTGACAAAGCATCAGCCTGGTTCCCCTTTCTTTCTCACCCTTCACCCCTCTTTCTCACTTCCATCCTCCTTCCTTTCCTGTCCTCTCCTCTCCCTCTTATCTCCTTACGTTCCCTGTTATTTTCCATTCCTTTGCTCTTCCCCCTTGCTCTCTTTCCTTCTCTCCCTCTTTAACTTCCTACCTCCTCATCTCTTTCCTTCTCCCCATTGCTGCCCTTCCTCACCAGTTGTCAGATCTCCCCGACCAGCATTTACTAGTAAAGCATCATATCAAAGTCCACGAACTATGTATAGTATACAGGGTCCCAGGGCCGGGGGAGAACTGGAGTCTTACACTTCTCCCACCACACTGATTCACAGTATTTGAAACAGAACCTCAGGACTCTGTATTAATCTTAGCACATGTGAGTCTGAGGCAGGAGGATTGAGTCTGAGTCCAAGCTAGATGACAAAGTGATACCATGTCTCACTAAAACCAACTGAAAAAACTCTCCAGATAATCCCAAACACAGTGGAATATGTAGCCATGTTTGGTGATACATGGATACTATTGTTGGTGTTCTGAAAAATCTAAGTAATCTACTACTCTTGATAGTAAGGAAGGAATTTTTACCTTTCTGCACCTGTTCCCTGTCATTGTACTTAAGAGATAGTAGGTTCTCAAAATGAAGAAATACATTGTATCTGAGAATTTGAGCATACCTCTTCTGAGAGCCCTGCAGACATGATACCAAGGCACTCCCTCCAAGAAGGGCTGACGGCCACTGGGTGTGTAGACGTCCCCCAGTCTGGAAAGCCACAGGAAGAATCATAGCCTGGCCTAGCCCTTTAGTATTTGGGTGACCTTAGGTGAGATCTTTCTTCTCTAGGGCCTCGGTGGCTTCACCCTTATACAGTGTGATGGGTGAAGTCTTCCAGCTCCAGAGCCTTTGGCAAATTGAGACCTTAGCAGCGACCAGAATGCTGCCCTCTTCTACCCACAGCACCTCCAGAGAGAACTTGAGCAGAGGTCCAGACCCCAGCTTGGTATTTTTGGCAGAGGTGTAGTAGAGTGTCAGCTGCTGATGACAAGATGTATTCAAGGTATCACTGTAACCTCTGCCACATTATCTATCTTGAAAGGTGAAGATGACTTCCTTTTAAATGATGGGCTCATATTGTGGATTATATTTATAATCACTCCCCGGTAATTTCTTCAGTCAAAACAGCAACAAAATAACAAGAAAAAACCATAATGCTGTTATTCCAGAGAAGTATGTTGGAGGTTTAAGAAAATGATTACAGGTATGCTATGTAAATGAAATTGCAGGACAGAGCTCCAGCCCCAGGAAGTTTAAAGTAGTGGAGGCCATGCTCTCAATTTGTATCCTGCAGTGTACAGTAAGAGTGCAGCAGGAGCTTTTAGCTTGATGTCCCTAGCATTTGTCAACCAGCCATTTAGTATTAATACTCTCTCATAGCAAATGCAGAATTGCAATTTCCTTGGAGGAGATTAACTAACATCAACATTCCCGCAGAAGCCACACAGAGGAGGCTGTGAGCTTCTTGGTTTCTGATGAAGTAGTCTTTGCTGAGATCTAATTCAGGCCAATGGATTCTAGGCTCTCTGCTCTGTCTATGAGGCCCCTGCAGCTTTCTCTGGGTGTTTCTGTCGGATTTCATTTTCTTTCTCATTTCTCCTAGCCAAGCAAGGACCTGACATTTGGCCCCTTGTGAACTTCTCCTAAAATACTAAATTTGTATGGGCTAAGACTGGACAGAAATACACTGAACTTGGCTTTCCCATTGGCTTCTCAGTCCTTACGATCTGCGTTTAATACATTTTACTGTCATCCTTCCTACCACCTGCTCATTCCAGCTGCCCACATAACTCACATCAGCCAGCCCTAGGAGAAAAGCCCTCCTGTCACTATAGCAGGAAAACTGTTCATATGCATATTTCATTATATTGTCTTACCTGATAATGTAATAATAGTCATGATGCCAACCATGAGGAACAATCCTATGTAACTCAAACTATTTTAAGTGCCATATATATGTTGTCATTTGCTATTCCAATAAAGTGAGTGTCATCATCATTCCCCATTTAACAGATGGGGAAACTGAACCTTCAGTGGTTATGAAGCCACTGGGGATGAGGGTCACAGAAATGGCAGAATGGCAACTTGGGCTAGGTCTATTTCTACCTGTCTCTTAGCCACTTTGTCCTCTTCTCTACTGACCATGTGGATGCTATATAGGTTGACCAGCTCTTTGTGTGAAATGTCTTTATTTGGTTGCCTTATTTATTCCTTGATACTCATATAAATCTTAGTCTTCCTAAGGTCCCACTCAAATCCATTTCCTCCGTGAAGTCATTTCTACAATCTCAGCTTGACAGATGCTTTTAAATAAGTCTTGCGGGTATCTTTTATTGTGAACACTGCTTATTGTCCTGTTTATAACCTGTTTGTTTCTTGCAGCAACAGGATGAGATCCTGTTGCCTCTGGATTCCTGACTTCACTCTTTTATACATATTCTTACCTCTTTTAAAAATACCATGTGCTTGGCAAATTGATGCTCAGGAAGTGCTTGCTAATTACTAGGCACATGAAGGCCTGTGTTAAACTGAGCATCGCCTCCTATGGAAACCATGAATACTTGCCACCTGATGACCACATGATCTCATTTCTGAGAGTTAAGAACTTGTCTTTTCATCTTCAGGATATAGCGTCAGATTGCTGGTAGCAATGTCATGGTGTGTCAGCATCTGAAGCTAGAATTTCTGATATGGGAAACTGAAGGAATTAAAAGAGATTAGTTACTCTCTGGTTTGATCCATAAAGAAATAAGAGAACCTCCAGTCCAAGCTCTTTGAGGTATCTCCATATTGATTGCCATAGTGGTTGCACTAGTCTGCACTCCCACCAGCAATGGAGAAGGGTTCCTTTCTCCCCATAACCCCGCCAACATTTGTTATTGTGTGATTTCTTGATAGCAGCCATTCTTTGTTGGGTGAGGTGGAATCTCAGTGTTGTTTTCATCTGCATCTCTCGAATGACCAGTGATGTGGAACATTTTTTCAAATATTTTCTTGCTGCTTTTACTTCTTTGCCTGAGAAATGTCTGTTCATTTCAGATGCCCATTTTTGAATCGGGTCTTTATATTTGGGGGGACTGATTGTTTTGAGTTCTTTATATATCCTTGATAATAGTCCTTTGTCTGAGGAACAGCTGGTAAAAATTTTTTCCCACATTGTAGATTGTCTCTTAGTTCTGCTGATGGTTTCTTTTGAAGTACAGAAGCTTTTTAGTAAGATGAGATCCCAGTTGTTGATTCTATCTGCTAGTTCCCGTGCTACTGAGGATTTGTTCATAAAGTCTTTTCCTATGCCAATGTCTTCAAGAGTTCTGCCTAACTTACCTTCCAGCAAGTTTAGTGTTTCTGTTTTAATATTTAGATCTTTAATCCATTTGGATTTTAATTTAGTGCATGGCGAAAGATAAGGGTCTAATTTTAATCTGTGGCAGGTTGACATCCAGTTTTTCCAACACCATTTATTAAAGAGGCTATCTTTCCTCCACTGAGGATGGTGAGCTCCTTTGTCAAAGATGAGGTAGCTGAGTACATCTGCATTTGTTTTTGTGTCTTCCAGTCTGTTCCATTGATCCTCAGGCCTATTTCTTTGCCAGTACCATGCTGTTTTTATCACAGTGGCTTTGTAGTATAGTTTCAAATTGGGAATTGTTACACCTGGTGCCATGTGACTGTTGCCTATAATGGCTTTTGCTATTCTAGGTCTCTTGTGGTTCCAAATGAATTTTTGGATTATTTTTTCCAGTACTGTGAAATATAGTGTCGGAATTTCAATTGGCATTGCATTGAATGTATATAGCAGTTTTGGTAGTATGGCCATTTTCACTATGTCGATTCTTCCTACCCAGGAGCAGGGGATATCTTTCCATTTTTTTATATCCTCTTCGATTTCTTTTTTCAGAGTGCTATAGTTTTCAGTGTAGAGATCTTTTGTTTCTTTTGTTAGATTGATTCCTAGATACTTCATTTTTTTGGATGCTATTGTAAAAGGAATTTTTTCCCTTATTTCTCTTTCCGTCTTTCTGTTATTTGTGTATAGAAAGGCTATTGATTTTTGGGTATTCACCTTGTATCCAGATACTCTACTGAATCTGTCAATTAAGTCTAGAAGTTTTTTGGTGGAGTTTTTTGGATCTTCAATGTAGAGTATCATATCATCAGCAAATAATGATAGTTTAACTTCTTCCTTTCCTATCTTTATTGCTTTAATTTCTTTCTCTTGTCTAATTGCTGTGGCTAATGTTTCCAGAACTATATTGAAGAGAAGTGGAGATAGTGGGCATCCTTGTCTTGTTCCTGATTTTAACATGAAGGTTTTCAGTTTTTGGCCATTCAATATGATGTTGGCTGATGGTTCTTCATAGATAGCCTTTATTAAATTGAGAACCAGTCTGAAATAACTTGGCCATGCTTACACACCAAGTGGTCTGCAGCCTTGAGATACTGGGTCATACATTCCCTAGGGCCAAATTTACTGGTAGACATGGCCCTCATCTAGCCTGATGGCCCTAGATTGAAGCATGCCTGGGTCAGTTGGAAAATGGCCTCATATTTAATAGATATCGTATCAGTAGACTTCATATTAGGTAGATTGTTTATCATTGGAAATAATATTTTGGTTTTACAATTCATGACATTTTAATTTCTTATGGAATTCGTCCTGCTTTCCTATGTCCATCTACCCTCCTTCATCTCTCCATTGCCTCTATCTTAGCAAAAGTTGATTTCTTCAGAAGAGCTCTTTTGCTCATACTGCTTTCTTTCCCCAGGCCATCTTCTGCCTCTTCTCCAATTCCCCTGGTCTTTGAAGAGTGAACTTAGAAATGCCTTGACAGTGATGCTCCTTTTCAGTTGGTGGTTTCCAGAAGCTCTTTGAAGCATAGATCTCCTTGTCAAGCCACAGTATTTATTAGAACCTTAGTAGGTATCCCAGAACTCCCCCCTTGTTGAAGTAGGAGTTAAAGAACTCAGAATTCTGCACAGCTACTTCCAAGGACTTGCTTGGAGTACAGTATCTTTCCCCTTGGTCAAACTCCAACTTTGGGATGTTAGCAACACTTGTTCTGCACCCTTCTTATTAGATCATTCTCCACTTAGCACCTTTTCTACTAGGCATTAAAGCTCTTTGCACATAGAGTTCTTGTCTAGATCTGTCATGTTTTTCAAAACACTATCTCCTACAAGGCATGTGCTCCTGAAATGCCACTGATGAATAAATTAACATAGTTCCCCGTCTCTATAGATTAGAACATGAAGTCCAGCAACTGAAGTGAATGGTCTGTGAGGGTCAGTGTTGTACAGAGAGCTTATCATGGGCTCTCAAGGGAGAGGTTGCACTGCCTAATTTGTACCATTGTTCCTGCATAGGCTACTTTATATATGGAGGTACTTCTTGTGCCTGAGAAGTACTTTGTCTTTGCCACCTGCTTTCTGCCTAGTGATGGGGTGAAAGATCACAGGAAGGTAACTGAGGACCTGAGAACTGGTCAGGCAAATCCATGGAGTCTTGGTGCAGGTAGTCTACATGAGAAGGTAGAATTAAACATTCCGGGGAAACAGCTTATCTGGAATAAGGTGGTACAAGTCCAGGTTGAAAAGAACACAGATATAGAAATTAGTTCAGTCACACCAAGGAGCAACTTGTGCTGACAGTTACTTTATTTTTAATTAGTTATAAATAGATGAAGTTTATAATAAAATCTGCCCTAGTGTATTCAGAATGATCATAATGTATATCTAATGATATAATAAAATGATTTTCAGCTTAGGTGGCATTGTGAATTACTCTGTGGCTTACAGCGCTCAAATAAATCAATTTACTCATTTTCTGACTTTAAAAAAACGATTCTTTTCCTCCCCATCCCCATCTGTGTATCATGGGGACATTTCAAACTACTGGGCAATCCTGTATACTAGGAGATAAGTGTTTGGATATCAGAATATACTCAGAAAGGTATGAGCCTCTGGTGCTCATTAAATTTGGATTTGTGTTTTCTGGGAGCTAGTTTCAAATTGAAGCAAAGATCAGGGGAGATGATTTATGAATGGTTTTGTCTCACGTTCAGTTGTACATGAATTTGTTTTCAATAACTGAGAGTATATACTATACTTAATTTGAGCTATTTTATATAAAATATTAATCTCTTTACTCAGCATTTTAGAAAATTCTCCCTTGGTCAGTATACAGAAAAAACTGTTGACAGGATTATGCATGTGTTTAGCAATACATTATTAATTATTTAGTGGTTGTGCTAAGATGTAAATATGGAACACATTTATTTTAGCCCATCTAATCAGTGTCTCATAGAATTGGAGGAATGGGGTGGAGATCTGAGTCAGGATTCATTTGAGCAATCTTAGGTTGTGGGAAAGATTTTTGTTGTGACTAAAATTCTAGTCTACTGGCTCTTCTGAAAGAAAGACAAAGACAGACAGAGATTGGGTTGAAATCCACTGGGATGGTTAGGACTGATAGTTATACATACAACTTCACTTACATTCTGTGGGGGAAAATTCTTGTTAAGATAGTCCTTGCTAAGTGCCTTAGAAGTCAGTTGTCTTTGACTTCCCCTTTGCCTTCGCCCTGTGCCAGGCAGTTGGGAAGGTGGAGATCTTTAAAATGTGGTCACCGTGGCCCAGAGCAGATAGCCCAGCTGGAGAGACAAGCCAGGCCAGGAGCAATGCAACAATCCAAGACATTTTCCTAGCTGAGTAGTATGTACACCTTAATTTTATTTTTTGTAATCCTTTTAAATTACCTTGTGATTGAGAAATAGCTATTTTTTTACAGCATCCTTTACTATGTGAGGAGACCAAGTGTTGTCTTAGAGTCAGATCTGATACTCATAGCACTTCCCAAGTCACCAACTATGATTTTCCCCTTTCCTGCAGTAGGCTTCCAAGAAGGAATCCAGAAAAGGTTTGAATGGAGTCTCTTAGTCTCCATCATAGTCTTCAATATAGTGTTATTCATCCAGTTCTCTTTTAGGGAAAAAAAAAAAAACATAATGAACATATGGCAGTAGATTTCTTGGATGGAAGAGAATTATGATCCTACATTGTTTTGATGTTTGGCATTTAGAATGAGAAAGCTTCCTATTGTTGGGATATCATAAAGAGAGACATATAGTAACCATGTGTGATTAGAGATGTTCAAATTTGTCCTGTCTCCATGGCTTTCAGAATCAATGCTTACATTGAAGAAGAAGTCCAAAGACGTCTTCAGGGTTTGCATCACACAGTTGGTATTTCTAGGAATACTTCTGCAGATATAACGAAGGTGAGCAGAAAGAACTATTTTCTTTTCAAAATGACCTTGTTGATAAGTTAGTGGTCATGGTGATAGTGTGGGGGCTTATATTAATGCCACTTAGAAAATTCAAATGTGGGCTGTTATATTGCTTGGACTGAGGTTAACAGTTTATAAATAGTTTTAATTTAAGAGAAACTTTATTTTACACTTTTATAATTCTGAGAAAAATCTTAAGTGAGTACAAAGTCTCCTAAAATGGTTTATTTTGTTTGGTTTACAACATTCTACATGTAACATTTATCTGTTTCCTCCCAAAATACAGCCGATATCCATAAGTATTTAATTTACTTTATTAGTTATTCAAAGTAGAAATATATTTTCCCCTTGAGAAATATGTATTTGCAACAAGCTGATTATTATCAACTTGTAAAAAGATAATTCTTTTCTAACCTAAAAATTAAGAAATATCCTAAAGAATTTTTCCTTATAATATTGTTCTTAGAATTTTGAGATTAGGAATAAATAGTTCAGTTCTCTTTTGGGCAGATGGATCTATAGAGTCCTGTTTACTTTGGGCATATAAATTCTATACAAGGGTTGTTATTGTTGAATGATAAGTATGTTTCTTTAGAATTTTGTTCCTCTAAATACTTCTAATTGAATCAATACTTCTAATTGAATCATGTTCTATGAACATGCTATAATTTAATATAGAGGGCTTTTTATTTTCTTTTCAGGATAATGAGAAACTTCACAATGACACCATTCAGCGTAAGCTAAAATATGAGGTAAGTAATGATTTTTCAGATTGATAGGGTTGCTTAAATTATAGCATGCTTGTGTGATTAAATTTTCTTAATGTTTAGTTGCATAATTAGAATTTTGAAGTCCCAGTGAGATTAATGGCTAATGGGGAAGGCAAGCTATTATATGGACTTAAAATTAAATGAGATCCTGCAGGTTGAAAACTACTCTGGCTTCACTTGAGTGGCATGTAGCTGTGGTGGAGCTTTGCCCAGGTTTTCCTTTGTAACAGTATCCTTTCCCTTGGTCTGCATTTCAAAGGCAGAATTATATAATCAAATATGAGGTTAAATGAAACTGAGTACTTCTCTGTGTTTTAGAAACCCTTTTCATTTATAGATTTGAGTTGGAAGTAGTGCAAAGGAAGTATTCTCAATTCATTAGCTTATTTTTCTTGTGGATTGTCAAACTAACATTTATTTGGGCGTAGTCTGTAAAATTTTGCTTGGTTTTTCTTGGTCTGTGAAGCCTGTTCTTCCTGTGTAGTCCTAAATTTAAGAACAAAACTGCTAAATTGTAGTAATCTTCCCACACTCATTCATATGTTACTGAACAGGAAACACCAGGTTGAATGTTCTACCACGAGCTTAACTTACTTGACTGTGTCACCACCTGGTGATGACATTGTGTCCTCTGGGCACCATTTCCTGAACAGGTAATGCCAGGCAGAGCACAGTGTTGCCCTCCACGTCTTTATGTCCGTGCTGCCTGGCACATAACAGGCCTGCAACAAGCTTTCATAATCATGGTGACCTGACAGGGAGTGTACAAGTAAGGATTCCCAGGAAACAGACCTCAAAAAGGGGAGAAGTGAACCTGGGTTGGAATTCCTGTGAATTTCTATTGGCCTTGCCTTCTGATTTTCATTATTTATGACCTGATAATTTTGCATTTTGGACAACGTAGATGCAAAAGTGTTAGAATTTACTTTAGAGAAAACAAAATCTTAGACCAAGAAATGGATACTGTGGATCAATACTGTACTATGTACTTGTGTCAAATGCTCAGCAACTAATGAGATATATAATATGGATATTGATGGGCTGTGTATGTTAGATCTTCTTAAATCATGTGTTAATCACTACCAATGGCTTGGGATCTACTTAACCTCTAAATTACTCTACCCAATGAAATCAGTGATCACAAGAATCATCATGTGCAAAAGAATCACAGGAAATGATACTACATGCCCATTTCAACTTTTTTGACATGTTGAACAGAAAAGGCAATCTCAGCCAGCACGGTGCCTTGTCTCACTTCTTTCCAAAGACTCCACTGACACTGCCCATGTTGTCATTAGAGAAGAGAGGAGAGAGGCGGCACAGAGGGGCCACTGGCACCATCCCCTGGTGGGGAGCAGCACAGGCCCCAGAGTATCCTTCCCAACCTCGGAATCATCACAGGAGGGAAGGGATCCGTCCTTGGGGGCCAGGGAGCTGCCTGACACTGGTTGCAAAGATCTCCCCGAGCAGTGTTACCATCTGGAGCCAGAGAGTCTTCATCTACTTGAAAGTACTTTTCTTGACAGACGTGACACCAACTTTGTTCCAGAGTATTTTCAGGGTGGATCAGAAAATCTTGATGAGCCAATGACTCTCAAGGATGAGCACAGCTTGGGAGCTGAGTCCAGCTGGACATGGCTGCAACACACATTCCAACAAGCATCTACAGATAGCAGAAGCAATCAGGTCAGGCTGAGTGGTGCTCTCTGCTTTGTGCTCTCGGACACTGCTTCTCAGGAGGAGTGTGCACCTGGCAGTGCCCCTCATAGTGGCCTGTCTCCCATGGTTTGTGGTAATCAAAACAAGAAAGCTTTAGCTGCTGAACAGATTAGCTCTGCAGCATCCCCAGTAAATCTTAAGGCTGAAGGAAACAGTGGTCTGGGATATTTTTACAAGTTCTCAGACCTCTATAAAGACAGCAGTCATTACCTGCTGCATGTGGGCACTGCAGTGATCAGCCAAGCCATGCATGTCGGGAGTCTGTGTGCCCCAAGTAGACTTGCCTCACACCTGTCAGCATTCTTCAGAGGCTTGCCGGTGCTGAAGCACCTGCCCCTGACTATGCCCTTGGAGTCGCACATGGCACCATCAGGACCCCACTCTATTCCTGGAACTCAGATTGGTGGTGGTGGAAGTGGGAGTGCAAAGCCAGGGAGCCTGGTGCCAGTGGAGCGCTCCATGCCTTATATAGCCTCTGCCTTCACAGCTGAGGGTTTACCAGGCTCCTTACCAAGTTCAGTTTTCTGCCCTAAGTATGAAGATGTTGGAGGGAGCTGTGTGTTTATACAGACCCTTGTGCAGTTCCCAGCTCTCATGCTGAATTTGCAAGTGTGTCCTTTCAGAGACTTTCAAAAGCATGTGGCTTCTGTTCTATCTGGCCCTTTAGACAGCATGAAAGAAATCAGGGGCATTTACTGGCTGGCTGTGGCCAACTGCTCAGACCCTGAGCCCCAGCCAGGGTGCCTGCTCCTGATTCCCTCAGCTTTGTATGCTTTGGCCCTGGCAGAAACTCACCCAAGCTCAATGAGCATCTTTTGTGCTCTGCCTCTCTCTGGACTGCATGAGATTCAAGTCAGCTTTGGTGGACAGAGTATCCAGTTCCTGGGGTCTACAGAGGGTCTCCTACTCACAGCATTCACTTATAACAAAAACCTTTCTCAGCAGCTCTGCCGAGACATCGTGTGTGTCCTGGAGTCAGAGGATGAAGCTGCTGCTTTCATGAACCATCCTTTGCTACAGCAAGATTTGGTTCAGCTCTCTCTTGATTGGAAAGCAGAAATCACTGATTTAGCTTTGGCGAGTGGGGTTCAGTTGTCCTCCAAATTCCAGAGTACCTTGGTTGACATGATATACTTTCTTCATGGAAATATGGAAGGCGATGTCCCTTCTCTGGCAGAAGTTCAGGTGTTGCTGTACACAACAGTCAGAGTTGAAGGCCAGTCCAGCTGTGCCCCGTGCCAGTCCCTGATCCTGCTGAACACCCACCTCATGCTGGTGAGGGAAGACCACGTGTTTTACCCTCACACTGGGGCTCTGAGCACACTTCCCCCACATGTGCAATATGAGGTGATCAGGTGCTGTGCTCTGAGTGAACTCAGGTGTGTTTCTGTTCCAGAGAAGATAAATTTATCAACAGTAGAACTCATCTTCTTACGAAAATTCAGGCTTGCATCGGATTCAGAAAATGGCCCATTTGCGGCTCTTCAAGCAGCGCCAGGTGACCAGCTGTTTGCCACCCCACAATGGCTGCAGGGTGATCAGAACGGGGCACCCGAGGTCTGGAAACTTACTTTCAATTCTCAGGATGAGGTGCTTTGGCTAATCTCACACTTGACAAGACTCTAGGAGGGAGACTTACAAGCTGCAGCAACATTTTCTTGAGAGCTTTAATAAAGTGAACATTTTAAAATTTTTTCTCCCTTATTTTTATTAGTATATGTTTGCAATGCACAATAGATGCATTTTATCTTGAGGAAGTACTACATATATGCTACTTATTAATCCCAAAGAAAAATTAATTCCAAAACCATAAAAATAAAATGAACATTATGAAAACAGTCAAGGGCATATGCATATCTTAGCATATAGCTAATCAAATTGGAATTGGAAGAAAGGCCTCTCAAATTGAAAATGTAAATATTTTAAATACTACAGTAAGAGGACAATAGCTGGTAAGAGAAAAGTGATAAAACGCCTTTCACTACCTGCTTCTTGAAACTCAGGCTTGTAAGTTTGGGTCTGCCTGATTATTAGTGAGGTAATTAAAGCATTTCTGATTGTTTGTCTGTGTGTCGATTTATAGTGTGGTGACTCAGAATCCATCTGTGCCTGCTGGTCTCACAGGGTGATTTGTGCTGACTGAAAGGCAATGACCTTCACTGGCACCCGCTGCTCTAGAGCATTAGGACTGGTGTATTAGGCAGGGTGTATTATTGCTTTGCTGGGTATCCTGGAAGGCCCTGGTGGGGTGGGGGATCACACATCCTATGTCACCCAGTACTGCCTGCCCTTCTTCGTCTTGTATCTCAATTAATTGCTTCTCCTTTCTTCTTCCAGGCTTCTTAACTATTCATTTCCAGCTTCTGACTTGTTAGTTTAATTTTTTACTACTCTTCCTCTATTCCTCACACCCACATCTCCTACCACAGTCTAGTTCTTTTTCTGAACTTCTGTATGTGTGCCTTAGAAAGATTCTTCACCTCCGAGTTTTTTTCCTAAAGGCTCTTTCTGCTGTCTCGTCAAATATGATGCTGCCTCAGAAGACACTGCACTTTTCCCTGGCTTCCCTCTCTCTTGCCTCTTGCCACACCCATTCTTGTAACCTCTGAAAAGGAGCCCTGCTGTCCTGAGGTTCAGTCACGGTAGCCTCTGCCCAGAGTGGGCCTTTCCTTCTCAGGAAGGTGCCACCTTAGGGCCTTGGGCTATGCCTTTGGATCTCTTCCTCCGAAAGGACACCTCTGCCTTTGTGCAGCAGTCCTCTAAGCAGTCCAGAACACTCTGTATTTATGTCGTATTTCACTTGGACCTGGTCTCTGTGCCATTGTTGCCCTTTCTCTGAGGTATGTAATACTAAATTGCAGCATTTCACAGGGATGCAATATGTCTCTTCAGCCCTGCCCATGTCTCCCCTGCTCAGCTGGGATCATGTTTTTATTTTTCAATTCTGCTTAAATCTTTGGATAATGGTACCAGAAACATAGCTGCTTCTGTATTTCTGTTACTCATTGGAGACAGAGATGGTGTCAAATAACCCACCCAGAAACTCACCCTCTCCCTTTGGCCAGGAAGTGCACATCTTTCCTCTGTTCCCATTGGAGCTAGTGACAAGCAACCAATATGGTTCCGAGTTTTTACCTGGTGTCCTCTACCCAGTTTTGGGGAAGTGAAGAGGAAAACCCAGGAAGTTGGAAAATGTTCATGGATCTACACTGTGGTTGCTAGAGCTTTGTTTCCTTTGGACCAGTGGAAGCATTTTGTTGTTG